TAAAGTTTGATCTCTTGATTTTTAAGAAATGATAAACTTGCAAAAATATTAGATCTCAATTTTGTTCCACAAGTCAGACTCACTGGCGAATTGGAGGCAAAGTTCCAACCCCACAGCTACCACCATTGCCACCACCATGACCATCGCCACAGCCGTGCACCCACCTTGTCTTCTTTCCTCCTAGACAGCAATGATGAGATCACCCACTCCATGACCAATTGTATACCCAGCCCTCCTCGCTAAACCACCACCAATATAATGGTTCTACTATCTACAATCACCCAAGGGTCTATAGCTGCAGCATGTCGTTCCTCCACACAACCACCATGTAGGAAACACCTACGAGTGAACCTGCATTTCGAGCCCAATTCATCGCTACCCCTATTTCCCATGACCTTGTTAACCCCATGTAACACAGCAAGCCTCCATGAATAAAATCCCCACCAAACGAGAGGAAAACAAAACCATCAGAAAGAGATGAAACTAGAACACCCTCAAGGGGAAAGGAGAAGCCTACCACACGGTAAAAGCCTTCGCTCTCAAAAACCTAAAAATTACAATCTTCCGCAACCTGTTAAAAAGATAATATAATTTTTTGTAATTTAGTTTTATATATGGTAGTCTGTCTAGTCCTTCTTGATAATTAATAATAAGACTCTATTTAGTATAGTTATAATTTTGACTTCTTGATTTTTGTTTTTAAAAGTTTAGAAACTCTATAATAAAATTAAAGAAATAATTGATATATTTTCTAGTTTAATATAACTTTTGATATATGTCTAGTTTAATCATTAAAATATAATATATGTATAGTAAATTCAATTAGTTCTTACATGTTGTATGCATTGCTATGTCTTTAGATCTGTCTACTTTTAGTTTCATATTAAGATACAATAATTTTTTAATTAATGTGTTATACAGCATGTTGAATAAAAAAATATACTAATCAGTGTTTATAAAATTAAGAAGTTTTATAAATTAATTAAATTTGAAGTTTTGGATATCAATTTTAAAAATTTATACCCAATAAATTCATCATTTTAATTTTTAATTTTGGTTTTTAATTGTTAATTTTGATTGTTTAAATTTTAAAAACCAAAACTAATAACCAATTTACAACCATACCAAACAAGGCATAAAGGCCTATTTGATATAATAGTTAAAATCTAATAGATAGTGAGTAGCAAGTAGTAGATAATAGATAGTAAATAATTGATAACAATTAGTGAGTAGTGGATCACAATTAATGAATAGTAGATGACAAATAACAAAAAGTAAGTAATGAATGGTACATGGTAGATTTTAATTGATGTAACTAATTGATTATATAATGTTAGCAGTTGTTATTTGACATTAAATGGTTAATAGGGATATGCTTAAAAACAATTAAATATATTTTTTTCTTTTAATATTTTCTATTATTAAAGTTATTAATTTTATAAAAATAATAAACAAATAAATAAATAAAATATAGAAGTATGAGTCATATAGTCATTTTTATTTTTAACCAAAAAATTATATTATTTAAAAATAAAGAAAAAAACAAAATTTTAATTATTTCATCTAATTAGTAAATTTTGTTTATTAAGCTAATATAAATTTTTTTATGATAAGTTAATGTAAAAAATAATAATATAATAATCACTTAATTTTATTAAAGAGAAAAAAAAACGTTAAAACTAAATTAGATAATTAATAATTAAATATTGTAGCTAAAAATTAAAAAATTAAAAATATAAATTTATCATTAAAATTAAAAAATTTCAATTCATAAGCAATTTGTTACAAGAATCTACTTTAAAATATTTCAATTTGCTTGTAGTTTTAATCCTAACTACTATCCATTAATTTCAAACTACTAAATAAAAAGTTTTACTAAATACCTAATTTGTAATGATTTGAAAATAAACAAATTTATAAACACATATTATATAGCGATTTGGATAAATCTACTGATTGCTCCCCAAAACTACTATCCCATACGACCTCTAAGCCTTTGTTTGTTATGGTCTTGATTTTTGGGTTGCAATTTTCATTTTTATATTTTAATAACTAATATGAGAATAATGTATATTAGTTCCAATTTTATTAAAAAATTAAAACCTTAATTTCAAAAACATTACATTTCAATGAATATTTTAAAAAATAAACAGTTGAATTTAATATTCTATTAATATCTATATTGTATATTAGTTTTTAAGTTAATCCAATATCTTTAAGCCTTTTATTACAAAAAACTTGTATTTTTTAATTTATA